AGCCGAGCCGGGCCTCCTTCCTGGGCCCACCCTTCGGAAACCCAAGCCGCTAGCGAGAGGTCTGTGGCTTTCCGTCCCGAGAGGCGGGGCCGGACGCGTCCAGGCCACCTTAGCTCCCAGGGCCTAGGCCCCAGAGAAAGTTGCTCCTGTCCGGGGTGTGGGTGGGTGTATGTGTGTGTGTTCGGCGTGTTTGTGCACGTGGGCACTATGCACTGCAGGTTCGAGCTTATATAAATTCCAGCCAGGGCAGAGAGAGGGAGAACTTTTTAATGGCTTTGGCTTAATCGCATGAAGCAGACACCCTCTCATTTAAAGGCACGGGAGTTCTCTCTTCCGCCCACCTTGCTGGCTCTTTGAAATCGAGTCCTGAGTTCCAAGGCCTGGAGCCTGGCAGCGCTGCAGCGGCAAGCAGCAGGGAGCATAGCTTTGCTCTCCGCAAGCGTCAGGCACCAGGGCCAGGGCACAGGCACCAGGGCCAGGGCACAGGCTGGGAAGACTGTCCCTGAGAGCGGACAGCCCAGGTCCACAGTGTAGGACCAGTGCCCGGTCAGTGTTCCAGGTCGCTGGGCAGCGTGAAGTCCCTGAAGCTGTAGAAGGAAATGTCCCCGTGATCCAGCAGAGCAAAGATCAGGGGGACGTCCCCACTCTGGTAGGACAAGCGCTTGAGGGTGCAGAGGTCTGGGACCGGCTCGTCAAATCTGCAGGGAGAAGGGTGAGAATTCTGAGACCCCAGCCCCTTGGAGGCTCCCAGAGAAGGGTGGAGGACAATAATGGGGACACACACACACACAAGCTGACAGGAGAGGTCCCAGCCCCAAATCCCTAGAGGGAGGCGGCTCTGCAGAGTCCTGGGAAGCTTGGGTTCCTGTAGCACTGACTCATGGCAGTCACTTAGCCTCTTGGGGCCTCGGGTTCCTCTCAGGTGCTACGGTGACCAGGGGGTGGGGGTTCATGAGAAGGGGTCAGCACCCGCGCTCATCTCCTACCCGCTGATGCACATCCGAGCATAGGGCTTGCCGGGGTTATTCTTGCGGAAAGTGGCCACGGCATTGGCCTGGTACACGTCAAAGCTGATCTCCAAGCCCCCAGCCTTCTCCAGCAGCCTAAGGATGGGTAGAGCGAGAGACAGGTCCCGAAGGCAGCTTGGTCCAGGGAAGGAGTGACTAGGCATAGAGGGGAGGTGGGCTGCCCCATCTCGGAACTCTTAGGACACATTACCCCAAGCTGGGCGCTAACCCCAAAGCCAGCAGTTTAAAACCACCAGCTCCTGCCCCACAGGA